ACAGATATATTTCAAGGCTAGAATTTCATTAGGGAAGCCATACAAGCATTCGTTTATCTGAAATGAGTACGAAAATCTATATCACTCAGTAGAAGGAGTAAAACTGGTGTCAGGCGAGTGATTCTATATGCTTTAGACGCTCAAGGTGCCCGTCAACAAGTGCATTGACGACAGGGCTACTAAGGACTTTCATCAACAGCTGCCGTTGCTCGATGGTAAAAATCAGATGACTTAGGAAGATAAGCAAAAAGAAACTGGCGAAGACCCAACCAGGAACCTATCACCCTACAAACAGGCAGAAAGGAATAGAGATGGAGTGGAAATACACACAGGAGACCTTCAAGTGACGTCGGACATTAAATAGATCCTTCAGTGGAACCCAGATGGGAATCGAGGAGTTGGTCATTCGAAAGTGAAATGGGGGAGAACATTTTTGGGAGGAATTGAAAGCTTATGGGTAATCGTGGAGCTATCTCTAAGTGATGGCAGCTGGCAGAATGGAAGGGAAATGTTCCACTGAACTCCTATGTTTTACCGGAAATGCAAGGAATGAATAGCAATAATAGCACTTTTAACAAAAATAAACAATGGCTGCACCTACATACTTATGAAGACAGATTTAAGTTAGATGCAGTTTGGAGTCCGTCTCTACTGTATCTTTTGGCTTGTACTGAGAGAATGGAAGGTGTTATACACATTTTAATGAAGCCAGTGGAGATACTGTTAGCCAATAAACATTAGACAATTTCTGCACTTATCCTCAGCAAAGAGTCTTTAAAGTCCTGGACAGCTTTGATATGTAGCTGTTATTCAAGGAATAATCATCGAGTAGTTGACCATTGACAACCAAAATTACGGAGTACATTAGTTTCTTTACTACCGACTTTGGATCTGTAGGGATCTGAATGCTTTCAACTTAGATTTCATCGCGAATTAATAGTAGATGGAAAACAACAGTATGCCATTAAGCACTTGAGAAGTTGTTTCAAAAACAGATTATCATTAATAACGCCAAACATTCCACTGAAGTATATGAAGAGAAGTTCGAATTTGTAGGCGCTCATACTGTAACATGAGTCTAGGATTCGATCATTATCGGTGTCAGAGAGATCCAAAAATGTACAATGCTCTCTGGTTTTAACTCTTTTCATACTGGTTTTCAGTCGTAACGAATGGAATCCAAGTTTCGGTTTGGTCTTTAAAATGGAGCACATTTGTATTGTTCCTAATTCTGTTTTCAATCCTTTTTGACGAATACGATATGATTATGCAGATCAGTAGTTAATTCTGTGTACTAGATGATGAGAAGGAAGATTAGCTGATGACTACTATATTGTGATGGTGGTTTAAACTCCGCATCGTCGATCCAACTAGCACTACGAATACATTTCGTTTTAACCCTATTTTATCTCAGAAAATAATTGTTGAATTGTTGGCCCTGACAGGGAACACCGTCAGCCATTGACATTGTCCCAAAAGAGAAAAAGTAAATTCTACTGTGCTCATGGCTAGCTACTTCGAACTATCTAATTATAATAGGATTGAACAAATGAAATTTGATAGACTTATCTGCCAAAAGTTCTGTTTTCAGAATACTGGTGTCAGTCACACCTTCATTTATATGCCAGGAAGGATTAACTGCTTCTATTACAAAGTGAGCATTATTCCAGAAACAGCAATGTTACTTGTTTATTCTCATCAGGTTTAAAAATCATTGTTTTTTTCTTATCACTTTCAAAGACGACGAAAATTAGATTTATTGTAAGCTAGATTGGTTTATTCTAGTGGACTGGATTTCGTTGTTTGAATAATTAAGATTTAACTGAATCTGTCAATTTCTGAACACCTGAAGTTAGTCTCACAGAGAGAGTCAAACCATTCAGCTGCCTTGGCTATAAATTTAGACAGGTTAATACTCCAGTAGTATGTCAAGGAAAAATTTACTGTTACTAATGAGAAGAGCTGAAATACATATTCCTGGAGAATATAGCCACGACACTCTCATCCGACTACTCAGAAGTAGCTCAGGATACTATTAGGGTCTCAATGCGTATAACTTATCTGTTATCAAGTGCTGTAACTTATCTCACTTATTTCAAAGGCATAATCAATATGGTTTACATACTGATCGCTCCATTTAACACACAGATTTATATGGTCCATTTGCATTATTCTTCCATGTAAGCAAATAACTCGAAAGATAGAACCAGTATTCATCTTGAATTCATAATGAACAGACTGGTTAGAGCGCATTCAAACGTCGTGTCATTCACCTTCTGAAAAGGAGTCCCGAGATGCTGATAAATGATTAACTGCCCCATCCATTTATAAAATAAATAAACAACAACTTTATAAATCAATTTTGAAAAGGTCCTAAAGAGGACCGTTTCTCGTTCTCTCTCATACACACCATTAGATCTTTTCTACGATAGCCACTTGATTTATTCATCACTCGGTTTTCATCACTCGTATGCCTCCACCACCGTCAAGTAACTGAGGTTTCCACCTGTCTGTTCTATAGTAAACATAAAACTAAAAAAATGCAAACAGCATACTAAAGCATACATTTATGTTATATATAATAGTTGTGTTAACGATATCTGTAGTCGGCCAGTTAACCAATTTCCCTGATTTTCGACAGGAAAACAGTTCATTATCACACTAGACATCTGTTTCAGAAATGTTTCAAAGGAAACTCATGCTGAACCTTAATCCTGATCTGTTGTTAACATCTTTACAGGTGTGATAGGACTGTTTAGTAGAGGGAGTGTCTCACAGATAATACTGATAATCTAAAGTCTATTTTATATTTTAGAGAAATTCCTTTTATTCTTATCATAAAATTTTCTATTTTCCCTCTAAGTTTCCCAGAAAAAATGTTTCCTTAACTGGTTATTCACCATTTTTAGTCAAATATTTCCCTTGAGATATTTGTTCCCACTGATAGCATCTTTGAAAATAATTTTTTTGTCAAAGACTATGACTTACTTACCCTATCCAATATTTCAGCATTCTGTAGACTTACGATATAAGAAGTGTTGCTAAGTCACTCAAAAAAAAAAATAGTATTATGAGTGAACTAGCAGACGGAGGCATTTGTCATTATGAATTGGAATGGCCTAGCAATATATCTCATACCGTCAATCCCTTCTTTTGTACCAATAGTCCTTTGAACTAACAATTAACTTTAAAGTCAGTTGAAGAAATTTACATAGCTCGTTCAGTAGAAACAGTATTTACCAGTTTATAATGCTCATAAAGCCATAATAACTATGCCTTAATATGTGGATTCGGTGCGTTGGTGGTACAGCGGTAGAATGCTCGCCAACGATGGATATAATCCGGGGGTTCAGTCACCAGCCAACTCACTCCTTCACCTCGCTAAGCCACTAATAAGAGAGAAGGTTTGGCATGAGGCTAGCAACCCCATCCTGTAAAAAGAAACACCACTGCTACCAAAAATTCAAGCCTTCCGCTTGAAGCCCTATGTGTTCACTGGGAACGCAAAGGAATAAAAAAGTATATGGATTCAGACTACTGAATTTTAGATTTCTAAATCACTATTTCAAGTGCTGATTAAGATGAATTATCATATCGGTTAGCAGTTCAAATACAACCATCAGTCAGATTATCAACCATTTTCATTCATATCTCCTAAAAAATCATGTCATACCATTATAACGAGCAAATCTAGTCTTAGTTTATGAAACGACTAACACGAAAATTAACTGGTTATTCAAACCTGTTAACCCCACTTGGAACCACTATTCAGGGGGTATGAATGATTCATTCCCCATCACCTCTCAGTTGCTTTTTTTGTTATCTTTTGGCAGAAAAGACCAATTTGTATGCACATTTGCAGTCTCGTTCTTTGATCTGTCACTGACTGTTGACGTCTTTATCGGTTACTCTCGTCCCTGATGAACACGTTGGTGTGCGCGCATATTTGAACGGTCAGCAAAACGTCGCCCACAAATTGTGCATTCATATGGTTTTTCGCCTGTATGAGTTCTTCGGTGAATGTCACGCAGCCATGGACGGGAAAAACGTTTACCACAGTCCTGACAGTAAAACGGTAGAGTATGTGTTGCCTCATGTAACCTGTAATTTAAGAAAAAGTATGAATACGATTTTAAAAAATGAAAGAATATAAGAGTACTAGCCATTTTCAGATGTAAAAGTCAAGAATTCCAAAGTATAAGGCTTATAAACTAAATATATTTTCCTCTGGGAGGATATTTAATATTGAAAATACCAGTGAAGTTTACAAAGGTTTACGATAAGTTTTAGGAACATAAAGTTGAAGGAAGGATAGCTGAACTTCGGCCACCATTCTTGACCAACTGATCAGCGTTATGACATCCATTTTATGCTGACAGCTAATTACTGTTGACCGAATTCATTATACACCTATCAAGTTACTGAATTCTCAGTTATACAGATCATCATTTAGCTTCAGATGATTGAAAAATAAATGAACGGAATAAGTACTTGACTTAGTCTTCAGGGCGTCTTGGCATCCTTCATAAAGACATCCAAAATCTGCTCCTCTAAACTAGTCATTGATGAATAACTAATTACTGAGCCGTTAAAGGTGCTTCAGTGGTTCAGATTAGAGTATAAATCAACCACGCATGCCGTCTAGGGTTCATCCCTCCTAGATCTCACTCGGCTGGTAGTAAGCCCGGGGAAGAGGGAGGATTGGACGTGAGGCTAGAAACTTCACCTCTTAAAAAATAATAAGACTGCTGCAAAACTTCAGAGATCAAGCTTGAAGCGCCATATTCCACTGATAATAATTTATATATATATGTTTATATATGGTTAAACTGTTCCTATTATAATTCATCCTCATTCTCAGTAAGGCATTTCTTCTCACTATCTACTTTTTTCCTTAACATACCCAGAGTGACTCTTTAGTACAATCAGAAACACTGCTAAAAATTAATTTCATAAAATCCAAGATCAACAAAATAAATAATTATCAATTATGTAATCTGTTACCTTATAGATGATTTCACTGAATACATCTTTCCACAGTATCGACAGTTATACTGTTCACCTGTTTTTGTAACATTCCTCGCTGGTCTATTCATCACTTGTCGTTTACAATTGAAAATAGACAAATCAATCGGAAATGTTTGTTCATAATTTGTCAGATAGTCATTTTCAGTTTTTATCTGGAAGTTATACGGAGAATGTTGTTGTTGTTGTTGTTGTAATTGATTATGGTGATGGTAATGACGACCAACAGGTGTAGTGTTTGTTGTTACAGGCAGTGGAAAGACATTTTCATTGTTTTGCAATATACTACTATTAGGATCAAAACATTTCAGCAACAGCGCTGGAGATGATGTTGATGAGAATGATGCTGATGATGGTGTTGATTCTGATAGGATAGAGTCAATTGAAAATTTCAATTTTGGTGTATGCTCTTTCTTAATGATTTCAAAACTTTTATAACCACTGTCGCTATTCCACTGAATGTTGTTAGTCTTTGGACTTTGGAATTTCAAATTAGTCAGTGAACAGTTGGGAATGTTTGACAATTGATTAAAGTTCTCGTAAAGACTTATAAGTTGGCACAAATTATTTGGTGTTGAAATAAGGCCTGTAAAAGATAGAGAAAAATAACAATTGAAATTTGATATATATATATATATATATATATTTATATATATTTCATCTTATTTCAGTGACGACAAATTAAGCCCGTTTATTTGAACAATTAGAAATGCCTACAGAATTATACATTCAGACAGTTATGGTGACTTGATTAAACAGCTTCATTTGTCATACGGGACGGCATATCGGGTGGAAAGGCGAAAATTTAACAAACCATTGTGGAGTAGTGCAAACTAGCATTAAAGTATAAACTACTCATTGAAAAGTATACTACATAAAAGAATAATATAAGTGATAGGTTAAATGTTTCAATATTCCGACTTTAGCGCAATAAAAATTTGTTAAATAGTAAAACACTGATCACCTGGAACCATAATGTAGGATGAAATCACTTTGGAATCCCTATGATAACTTAATAAACACGTCACCTTATGGGAATAAGGAGAATTTTAAGAGTACTGAGTCTAATCTTTTTCTAATGGTAATGTCAGAAGGTATAATAACACAGAAAGTGATGGAACGGATTTTCCGCCACTCACTATTGTGAGTCAAGATGGAGAAAACAGAGAGATACAAATCATGAAATTTTATACAACAATGGGAAAACTGTTCGAAACTGCTTAGATTTTTTTCAGATGAAACGATGGACCAACTAAGAACCTACTGCTCTACGAATATTCCAAAGAAAAATGGAGATGGACTGGTCACACACTGAAGACACCGTCGAATGACACTACGTGTCAGACCCTCTAATGGAGTCCGAGTGAGAGATGACCAGTGGGACGTCCCAGTGTGACACGGAGGAGATACTACGTGGGGGAGATGAGAGACTACAGGCAATCGTGGGGCCAGCTTAAGGAGATAACAGAGAGTAGGATGAAGTGGAGACGTGCTGTTTAAGTCCTATGTTCCACTCGGAGCCCAAGGAAATAACAATGTGCAGTGAGTGACATTTCAGTTACCGACGGATTTATGAGTTTCAGAAGCTAATGATAACTGCTCTAATTGGTATACAATAGAAGCTAAGTATGCTTCCTTCTCAAAAAGTTCTAATAGGGACATAATTGCTACATCTTTTGATCTTACTGATGACTTAAAAACAAATCATCTGCTAAAATCTACATACACTTAAGATGGGATTGGCAAAACTTGCAACAGAAAATTATTTCGTCTATATTAGAAACTCATCAGAACCGGTGATATTTAAACATTTGAGAAATCTAGCATACAAACTTCAGCTAATATAATAAATAATATAAGAGTCTAGATAAATTGTAAGGGTAACTTACCATACTCTCCGATGGACGTTTCATCTGATGTTTTTGGTGTTGAAAAACCAAGTGAGTAAGACATTTTTTTCGAATAGTTTTCGAGTGTAACAAGCTTTTAGGATATCGGGTTTTATTAAGAGGAAGGGTAAGGGAACGCTGAAAAAAACAGTTCTTATTTATATATTTTTTTTCAGGTGACGTTTTAACACATACTCACACAGTTACTCACATATACACACACACACACTCACATAAAAGCATACATGAGCATTAGGTGTTAACACGCATCAACTTGACTTCTTTCCTTACAACATTCACAAAGCATATTCGAAATGAGGAAAAATACGTTAGACTGGGGGTAGAGATTTATGATAACTTCATAGCTTTGATTTAAACCAATATAAATATATGGCGTTATCATTAAATTGCATATACGTTATTTAGCTGAGGGTGAAAATCACATCTGCGAAAGACGGGGTGGGGAGAGAGAGAGAGTGAGAATGATTGGAAGAAGGGGAAAACACTGGAGGGGGGAGAGTGTGTGTTTATTTACGCAATTTTGGATGACAGAAATTTGATTATAGGATTATGAACGACTGAAGATAATTAGATTGAAGGTTATTAGGTAGGAAATACTAAACAGTGTGATATAATATATTTAAAATAATTGATGGGGTTTTTGATTTAAACACCCATAAATATTTACAATCCATGAATGATTCGTGTTCATGAAATATGAAAAGAAATGCAGCGGCTAACACCATAATAATACTAAGTACCTAAAATGTCACTGCATTCAGTCCATATTGCTGACATTCGAAATTTACCAGTTGATCACGGATTGATATCAGTTAGAGAACCATTGAAAACCAGGGAGTACTGGACAGCTGCTGTTTCATCCTAGTTTGGGACCAGATTCAATGGCTCATGAATTCTAACTTCTACCAGGTTGCCTTGTAACCGGAAGGTCCTGGGTTCGAATCCCAGTGGGTGCGTACTGCTGATGATTCCCAAACTAGGATGAAACAGCAGCTGTCCAGTACTCCCAAGCTTTCCAGTGGTTCTCTAACTAATATCAGCCCATGATGAAATCCTCCAATCAACCAAAAAATCCCTACAAAACCGATACTTTGTGATGAACCAACAACAACTATCTAGTTATTGAAAGTTAAAAATTGATAAGGAGATGTCTCACAAGTTAGTCGACTTTTTCCATTTCATTTCTTTGTCTTCCTAGTGAAAGATAAGGCTTCCAGAGTCTACTTTAGAGGCTACAGTGGTGTGATTTTATACAACATGGAGTTGTCAGCCTAGCGTAAAACTTTCCCTCTTTACTGGGCTCACAACCGGCTAAGCGAAGATAAGGAGTTTAGAACCGCAGATGATTACTGTTCTTTAATTGGTGGCATTTATATGAGAAGTATACTTTTATACCTAATTTTTATTACTGACAATCAGTAATCAAAGGTAGATCAAATTAATTAACAGTTTTCTCGACACTGAAATATGGATTGCTTGTATAAGTGACTGGATATCCCATGCGGTAATATCAAGACTGTATTCAGTTTAAATTCTAACTTGTTGATACATTTAGTACTAAAGATTTTATTTCGCATAAGCATGAAATTTCTGTGACTGAATATTAAATGTCTGAGTACACCAAAACATTTCTCTGCGTCTTCTGAACTGCGGATCTCTTATGAGTCAAGAATTTATCAACGGTTAACAAAAAATTAATTCACTAGTCCAAAAGATGGTACTTAGATGCTTAGATTGAAGGGTTTCGTGTTAATCTTTTAAATGACATTCTGATCAACAGTGGCAGACGCATCCATCTAATGAAAACTACGTCTCTTATTGCCACCATACATATCCAGTGTGAATACACAGTTATTAGCATTCTTATTAGGAGGGTTATAAGAACAAACGGAGTGATGTATTCGTGTAATGACTAATTAAGCTGATATGTGTATTCTTTCTTCCTCATAAACACGTTCACATTCAAGCAGGTACCAACAGACCGTCTGACAACCTTTAGTCCTGATGTCCCATGTTTGCAGACATTCGTTAGTAGGCTCTGGACTTAGGTCTCGTGCTTGTTGACACTCGCCAACAAGGCACATCTGCATTTTGGAAGCATTTATGTGCCCTTTGAGATTCGAACCCAGGTCACCCAATACTGCAGTCACAGATGAGTGACAAAAAGCCCAGAAATGAAGTCCAGATCTTCCTGTCTACTGCCTCCTGCCATTTAACATCATTTCAGACTGCCATCATGATGGCAAGCTACATAGATCTGTAACTACATTAAAAAATTGACTGACAGTATTAATTCTACACTAAACGAAGGACTAAACTCATGACAGTGGTTATCACCTAGTGATCATCCAAAGTGGCCTTTAGTTCAGTTTAATTTTCCTCATTTGTCATGGTTGATTAAATAAATTTACCTTCTATATTGGTTCAAAACTAGACACATTCACACATTCCCCAGCCTGTTACGCAATTCACCTCAATTGACAACTATTTCGTGGTATTCCTTGTCTGGTGTTTATACTACAGACTTCTATGGTTACAAGAAAAGGGCTTATTAGAGATGACTGCCTGCTTACAAAGGATCTATACGTTTGTTTTCCAGCTGAACAAACTACTGATATAATCTTCAGCTGTATAATGCTATAGATTATTAAGATGATATTCTAAATAGACGATTTTCTTAAATTCTTCAATATTATTTATTATTATTGTTCCTTTGTGTTTTGAGTGGAACATAGGGCTCCAACTTTATTTTCTGCCGTCCTCTTTAGCTGACTGTACGACTGCCCATAGTCTCTGATCTTCGCCTCATACGATCTCCTTCGCATAACCCTATTCCTCGTTTCCCATTTGGCTGCCACTCGAGCGATGCTGCGGCACTCAACCTCACTTGACGGTCTTCTCAGCATGTATCAAACCCACCTCCATCTCGTTCGGAATATTTGTTGAGCGACTGTTTCTTTATCGTTTCACTTCAAGAGTTTGTTTCCAATTCTTCACTGCTAAGCATCTAATATTCATTAGGGAGCCAATGAATGCAGCTGTCGATAAGTGTGTGCAACTACCTATTGGAAATGCTTTTCGTGACATGCTGGCCACAATTCTAACCCAAATAGAAGCACTGACTCACTTAATTTCCATATCGGAAATCCAAACCTCCTTCCTTCTACTGAGTTCAGAATATTTTCAAATGGATTTCAGAATGATGAATGTCCATCCATTTTTTTCAAGAAACCTCTAACAAGATATATATATATATATATGTCGTAACAATTTAGACACCCTGTAAACCGCAACTTCTTATTGTACTATGACGCTCTGACAATATGCTTGCTAATGGACAAAGGTTTGTTAAAATTATACACTTTTTATTTTATTGAAAAAATTCAGGTTGTACGCAGCTAATGAGAGCAAATGAAATAAAATGGATCCAGATTATTCTTTGCCCATGTTTCTTCTTTCTTTGTGAGGATTTCAGAGTGATGAATGTCCATCTCGCCTTTCCGATTCTGGTGTTTACATCCTCATTAGTTTGGCGTAAATTCAGTCGAAATGACGCTGCTTCGATCAATGAAGGAATTGATTTCAAATTTCCTCCGTTGATGGTGATTGGTGCTTGTTTTTATTGTTGTTGTTGTCGATTGGTTACTTTCATCACACCCATATTCTCTACGTCCACTTGAAATCTCGCCTTTACTGCTTGCATCTTCTGCCAACTTGTTGCTTTTCGCGTATAAGTCTTCGAGTTTGTGTGACACTAGACATAAATAATCCGCGAAATCCAGTCCTACTGAAGTATTCTTATTGGAGCAACATATTCCTGTCTTCTCATTTCCATGCATAGTCTTCCGAATAATTCAGTCCACGGCAATTGGCAATATCGTCAGTGACAGTAGGTAGCCTTGTATTACTCTTGTCTTCACTTTGAAGGCTTCTCTGAAATTTCCTTTTTGGATCATCTGACTTACCACCATCGTACACTCTAAACTGACGTTAGATGGTTAGAGCTAAACAGAAAGAAGCTTTGAACCTAAGTATCTTACTTATTGGTACCCTTTAGAAAGGCATATCTTTAGCTTCGAAGGAACCGGCATATTCCTGGAGATAACTCGACTACACACTGTCAAGTCCAAATAACCGACCTTTGAGAGTATTTAGATGGAGTAAAACTGAGAACAAATGATGAGTAAACATGAACCCTTGATAACTGACTGACTTAATGAATGAATGAAATAGCAACGTAGGATCCCACACGGGATATTTACCAACTACACTTCTGACTGGATTAGAAGGAAGATGGTATCACATTAAAGGAACATAAGTGTATGAATGTGTGCAAGAGACATAGACTACTTTGAAAAGATTACTTAGGACCTTCGGAATGGGATTCTTCAATTATATCATCAAATTTTTCTGATCAGTAATATTTCACCAACTGACCCCTCTTCACATAATTGAGACATTTTCCAGTGCAGTTCTTTCTTGGATGAAATTATTATCCTAAGAAGCTAATGGTTTGATATGGGTTATAGAAAATATGATCTCTTTTTGGTATACTTAGCTGGTTTACCGTACACTGGAGTTGAACTTGAACACTGTTTACCACATGTTGATAATTCAGGTGATCTGTGTGAAGAATACATCTGTAATGAAAGCCAATAATCTTTCCACAACTGTTCTAAGTAGTTATTTCTAACAGTCATGAAGGAGAATATGGTAAACTCTTATTTATTCAAGTGGTATTCAGACCTACCTTAAGTGAATCAAACTGATTATTATTCTGATACTTTGCCAGTTAAGCTATAATAATTAAAATATTTTTAAATCAATTCATGTGGTGAATAAACATTAATAAACATTGAAATACCACTAAATTCTACTCAACAGCTGAGTGAATTTACTTCCAAAAATTTCTCTTTACTACTGTATGCCAGCTACCATCTGTTATACATGTGAGGAATTTTCTCTTGTGAACGAAAATTGACCTTGGTCATCTGTCATCACTGGAAATAATTTGCAACAATAATCAAATACTGAGGTTGGGTC